CGCAACTTTGCTGACTTTGCCTGTTTTTCCTGATAGAAAAAGTGCCCGGTTGCCCAGGTGCGGTAGTCCAAATTTATGTTTGACTATGCACACGGAGTAAGGGCTTCTTTAGTTCATAATTTTTTTTACGTAGTATTTATATATCGAATCTTGCGGCACATGTCATAGAGTATTAAATATAGATGAAAAAAAACTAATTACACAGTTAGGTGAGAAATCGCGAGACGAAACTTTCGAACCTAATTAGTCTATAATTAGACATTAATTATCAAATACAAACGAAAGTGCTACAGTAGCCAAAACCCAAAAATTTTTGCATCTAAACGCGCCCTCACTAGTCTATTTCCAACTTCAGGGTAGGAGTACCTCCGCTTCTAAAAAGCACAGTAATTTGCAGTGTGGTACGTACCATTGCCTTAGAGCAGCCCCAACGCGACAGGCCCGGCTGATAGCCCCAGCCTCCACGTCGGCACAGGGACTCCACCTCACATACTTGATGTTTTCGCACGGGTTTGTATTAGCCTGCAGAAGCAGTAGTTCCTTCGCCTGACAAAAGTGCGAGGCACCAACTAAATTCGCGTTGTGTGCAAAGCAACAACATCGTCAGAACAGTATTTTTCTCTCACACCAAATCAGCCAGCAGTAAATAATCCACGATCGTTTACGGCCTCCCGAACATGCCGATGGTTTTGACCGTCCGCGTTGCTGCTGCCCTTGTAACGCTTTATGTACATTGACATGCATTATTACCCCATAAAGTAAGATCTTATATATTTCGAAATTTATCTTGCAAAGAAAGATGTTATAGGATTTTATCTCGGTATTGTGCATCACTGTTTGACACAAACGATTTTAAAGGATATCTAGATCATTTTGCTCTATCACTAATATGTTCCAAAAATCCTATAGCGCCCCTTCATAGCATAGGACAGAGGGAGTATTTATGAGATTATGAATGGTTGTGTATATATATGACGGTATTTCTCAAGAGCAAGAACTATGCTTTTGGCAATATAAGCATTTGAATTCGACTTACATATTCGAGCCTCGTTGGGAACACAAATAAGGGACTCAACGATGAAAGCTCCAATACGAACCCCTATTTTCCTACACAATTCCTTTACATTTGCTCCACTCCAAAGGTGGCATGAGTTTTTTAGGCCCTGCATTGTTGTTTTCATTCACAGTTTTGCTAGCTCTAACTATATATATGCATTGTCCGTATAAGAGAAAATATAATAAGATGACGTAAGTAAACTGTTGAAGGTGCCAGTTGAGATGGAGGATGAGATAGAAGAAAAACAAGTTGTAAACAAACTGCGAGCTTATGCATGGTGGGCTCAATAGTTTCAATGAGAAAGTAAGGTTAGTCAGATATTAATGGTGTGATATATATATATATTACAGCTGGCCACAGAATAACTTATTCTATGGCCACCTTGATTTACGATAATGTTTGTACCAATTTACGATAATGACAATACACATTTACGATACATGGGTTACTATAATTTAAGATGATACTTACCATAATGCTATAGTGAATCACTTATGAGGGAGTTACCATAATCTCATAAATTAGTATAGTAATCATTGTAACTCAAAGTGGCCATAGAATAATTTATTCTGCGGCCAGCTACAGAACAGTAAGTCTATACAGAACTACTACCTTATAGCTGGCTATAAAATAACTTATTTTATAGCCACATTGAGTTACGATAATTACTATATTAATTTACGAGATTATATTAACTCCTTGCTAAGTGGTTTACTATAATGTTACGGTAAATATTTCCATGTGTTACAGTAACCCAACTATCGTAAATATATATTGACATTATCGTAAATTAGTATATAAAATTATCGTAAATGGAGGTGGCTATAGAATAACTTATTTTGTAGCCTACTACTGAATATACTCTCTCTCTCTCTCTCTCTATATATATATATATATATATATATATATATATATATATATATATATATATATATATATCAAATAACCAACTATTATCTCTTGCGCTATTAGAAGACAGAAGATGATATTATAATATATAGGTAACCGTTAGTTATATTATTAACCATGCTCTAAGGGTAGTGTAAAATAATATAATGTCGCTTTGGTTGGATGCATTCTGCTGACCGTTGTTCGGAGTAGGGCAAATAATTGGCAGCACAGGGCAAGTTACCCAGGGTGGGGTGGCTGCGCAAGAGCAAGGCTAATAGGTACAGCCGATCACTACCCGTAAGGTTCTTTGTAATTTTTGTTTCTAGCTCACCCATATAATAGTAAGGTTTTCACTATTAATACATAGTCCACGTGTTTCTCTCACATAGTTTTTTGGTTCTTATGTCTAAGCCGGCTATAAGCTTACAGTCCGCTTCTTCTCTCTCCTCCACCTCAGTATTTAGTCAGCTTAAAGCCTGTTATTATACTTGCTCTAACAGTGGCTGTCCGGAGTACCAGATGCTACAAAAGACCTGAAGACTCTGTCTCTCCTTCTCTATATATTTTGTTTAATTCGCCTTTTCTCCCTTCTCCATTCTAAATTATAAGTTACTTTTATCATTTATAAATATATAGTTTTTACTATATTTTCCATAAAAAGTATAGTTTTTTTACTATATATCTAGACTACCATATATCAAGTATATAGTAAAAGCTATGTAGTTAAAAGATCTAAAAAAGATTTATAATTTGGAACAATGTAGTAGGAAAGGTTGGGCTTGAGCTTCTATGCCGATGTCAGAAGTATACAGCCTCTCATAAACCTCCTCTAGACAAAAAGGAGAAGAAAAAATGTCATAGTAGCTTAGGAAAGAGGAAGCATTTGGTTTTAGGTCTAGCCTCAACGTTACGAGAACAGCTTTGGACATCCTCTATGATGTAACTTCTTAATTTCTTTTTTAAACAGGAGAGAATACATGAATAAAAAACACCTTATTACATGTAAAACATATAGAACAAGATATTCATCATATCTAAGATTCTTGTAGGCCCTTATTTAGTTGGGTGAATTTGGATTTTGGGTTACTGTAGCACGTTCGGTTTTATTTGGCAAATAGTGTTCAAACATGGACTAATTAGGCTCAAAACGTTCGTCTCGCAATTTCCCACCAAACTGTGCAATTAATTTTTATTTTCGTCTACATTTAATGCTCCATACACGGGCCGCAAACATTCGATGTGACAGATACTGTAGCAACTTTTTAGATTTGGGGTCCAACTAACAAGGCGTAGGTGTCCTTGTATGCAAAGTTCCACGGAGCTACTGATTTCATCCTAGAGAGGCACAGATTGACCTAGGATAATGGGATTGTACTTGCACAAAGGAGTGACATAAGGAATAATATAATAATCAGCGCCTTGTTCGCTTTGCAAATTTTTGCAACCTGATAAATAGTACCACTTTTGTCTTATTTGACAAATATTGTCCAATCGTGGATCAACTAGGCTCAAAAGATTCATCTCGTGATTTCCAACTAAACTGTGTAATTAGTTTTTTTTACCTACAGTTAATACTTCATGCAAACAGCTAAAAATTGATGTGATAAAGAGAAAGTGAAAAAACTTAGAATTTGGATGGCATCTAAACAAGACCCAGAAGAAAAAACATCAATTATAGGATGGAACAAAATCATTGCTGCACCCACCAATCCAATCAATGTACTACTACTACTGTTACAGTAGATGACACAATATAGACTCAAATCGTCGTCTTTCTAAACAAAAACCCAGTCTAGGAACAACACTCCTGCGTCTCTGTCGATGCGTCCAATTTGACTACGATCAAGGTAGCAAACTACATAGCGCCAAGGATTAGAATTCACCGTTTGTATTTCACCTTTTTTCATTACAAGTCTTAAGTCGCAATTTGCAAATCTCCACATTCGCTTAACATTTTACTGTATCTTCCAGAGCAGAGCTTCAGCACCGCAGCCCTATGCATCTGCGCTGCCAATACTAGCAGGAGTAGACTAGTAGGAGTAGATTTTCTGGCCCTCTCTCTCTACCTGCGTGTTTGACTGCACCTTCAGTAGCCTAGATGCTAGGCTACTCTGCGCCGGAGCATCCTCCTATCCTAGCGATAGCCCCCCTCAGCTCCTTGATAAAAGCTACTCTTACGTTACTGTGCTGTACTGCGTCATGGAGGTAATTTGGCAACAGTAAAAACAGAGACGATACAAACGTTTCTTTTTTAGAGAAGAGAGAACAGAGATCATGCATGCTACTGCCTTGTCCGCAAAAGAAGGCTCTGTACGTTTGAATTTATCGGCCGTAAGGTATCAACGAAATAATAGTGTTTTTTTTCATAATAAATCAGCATCAGCATCAGCATCAGCCGGTAATTGTGGGATGCGTGCTAATCAAAGAAGGTCAAGTTTAAACAAGTTTATAGCAAATATTATTAACATTTATATCTTTAAATAAATTTATTATAAAATATATTATATAATTAATCAAATGACACTCACTTTGTATCATAAATATTTACATTTTTTATATAAATTTAGTCAAATTTTAAACTGTTTAATTTCTCGAAAAATGAGAATTACGTACTTTCGTGGACGCAGAGTACTTCAGTACTACTCAGGCTCAAGGGAAGAACACTGAATAAATAAGTAAATAAATGAAAAGATGGCGGCCACAAGAAAGGAAACAAAAGGCAGCCTTATTTTTTCCCCTCCCTCTCTATCTCCTTTCCCTCCTCTCCATTTGCCAAGATCCTTCCTGCCTTCTGCTACTATATAGCTCCCCCCTCACCTTCCGTTCTAGAGAGAGGGGAGAGAGGGAGCTGGCCAGCGGCCTGTGTGTGTGAGCATTGTTGAGCAAAGCTAAGGGAAGCTAGCAAAGCATTCATATACATACTTCCATATATACAGAACTACACTGTAGAATAGATAGATATATAGATAGGTGAGAAGAGATTCTTGCAGGCTCCGGCCGATCCATGCATGCGGTTGTGAGATGAGATGAAACTTGGGAGGAGTGGTGGGCGATGATGGCGGGGGAGCTCGTGCTGGCCGCTGTGGCGACCCTGCTCGCGTCGCTCCTGGCTCTGGTGCTCAGCCACTTCCTGCCCTTGCTTCTGAATCCCAAGGCCCCCAAGGGAAGCTTCGGGTGGCCGCTCCTCGGTGAGACGCTGCGGTTCCTCACGCCGCACGCTTCCAACACGCTGGGCGGCTTCCTGGAGGATCACTGCTCCAGGTACATGCTACTGTAAATTTTTGAAACAATTTTTTTTTTGAAACAAACATGCTACTGTAAATAGCTAGTCGTCCAGTACTTGTCGTTAATTACAATCCATCCATGCACAGGCGGCACAGCTAGCTTAGCTAGCGAACCGACTGGCCGGCCATATGCGCCCTGTTGACTTGGCCGTACTTTTTTTTAGCCCCTAACGATTTTTCTCTTCCAATAAATTAGCTAATAGTATTTTTAGTTATAATTTATTAGCCAAACGAACGTAGCAACGAGAACGAGATCTTGTTAATCACCTTACCGTGCAATTAAGTATTGCGCCATTATTTCATGTGACAGCAAAAAGTGATGCTGCTGCTGTCATGTCTAAGCAGCCTTTTCATCTATCATGCACCTCTCATGTTTTTGTTTTGGTTGCCTTGTTCCGAGCCCGTGACAGTCTGACTGACTGACTCACGGTGAAGTGAAAAAGAAAAGAGGGGAGAGGTAGTAGTAAATGAACGCGCGCCGATTGACATTCATGCATGGTCCTAGTAGCTAACGACAGCATTGTTGTTCATGCAGGTATGGGCAGGTGTTCAAGTCCCACCTGTTCTGCACCCCCACGGTGGTGTCCTGCGACCAGGACCTCAACCACTTCATCCTGCAGAACGAGGAACGGCTGTTCCAGTGCAGCTACCCCAGGCCGATCCATGGCATCCTGGGCAAGTCCTCCATGCTCGTTGTCCTGGGCGAGGACCACAAGCGCCTCAGGAACCTCGCCCTCGCCCTCGTCACCTCCACCAAGCTCAAGCCCAGCTACCTCGGCGACATCGAGAAGATCGCGCTGCACGTCGTCGGCGCATGGCGACACGACGACGGCGGGAGCGGCCGCGGCGGCGGCGTCAGGGTCGTCGCCTTCTGCGAGGAGGCAAGAAAGGTTAGCTAGCTGCTAGCAGCTATGCACCCAACGAATGGTCATGTTGCCTCTGCATGAATCGAGCTTTTGCCATGGTGACTTTGTTTGACTTACAAGGCTCGTTTTTTTTCTTTCCTTTTTCCTCTGGGTCGGCCGGCCGTGTCCTCTGCTCTGTCCTTGAGAAGCACAGTTTGCATTCAGTGTGATAGTGAAGCAGGTGCTGGGGCTGTCACCAGAGGAGCCGGTCACTGCAAGGATACTGGAGGACTTCCTGGCCTTCATGAAGGGCCTCATCTCCTTCCCTCTCTACATCCCAGGGACCCCATATGCCAAGGCTGTCCAGGTAATCATCCGGCATGTCTTTATTAGCACATGCCATGCTTGCATTAATAAAGAACATCGATCTCTTCATTAGTGTATGTACACACTATATATATATGCTTACATCAGTAGTAAAGAATACAGTATATAACCGTGGTTTATTTTGTTGTCTGCTGCTCCTAATATGAATCCTAATGGCAGGCGAGAGAGAGGATATCCAACACTGTGAAGGGCATCATCGAGGAGCGTAGGAGCGCTGGGTCATGCAACAAGGGTGACTTCCTTGACGTGCTGCTGTCAAGCAACGAGCTCTCTGACGAGGAGAAAGTGAGCTTCGTGCTGGACTCCCTGCTGGGAGGATATGAGACCACCTCGCTCCTCATCTCCATGGTCGTTTACTTCCTTGGGCAGTCTGCTCAAGATCTGGACCTGGTTAAGGTAATTTATGCCTGCTTTGTTTTAAACTACTGTGAAGGCACTGCTAATTTATTTTTATGCTGGTGGCCATCAATAAATAAACTATCCATGAACATGCAGAGAGAGCACGACAGCATAAGATCCAACAAAGGGAAGGAGGAGTGCTTGACTTCAGAAGACTACAAGAAGATGGAATATACCCAACAAGTGAGATAGATGATCATCCATTCAATATGTACATGCGTATTAGACATGGTAGTAGTATGTAATCCCTCCGCTCCAGGGACAATAAATTTCTGTTAGCAGGAACCCACACAAATACGTGAATCTCCAAAATATGAGATTTTTTAAAATTTTGTGCTGGAAGTGTGTGTGTGTGTGTGTGTGTGTGTGTGTGTATAGTATGTGGAAATGCTGTTGTCATGCTGATGACGTGGTGGTTGCCTGCCCTTGTTGCAGGTTATCAACGAGGCGCTGAGATGTGGCAACATTGTCAAGTTTGTGCACCGGAAGGCGCTCAAAGATGTCAAATACAAAGGTGAGATGAATGAACCCCTCCTGCATCGAGAGAGACTTTCGCGGCAGATTCCATTTGTGCTCATCACATGATAATGGATCAGGCAGAGGGGATGGTCGCACCTTTAAGCCTAATTTTTAAGTATTGTTATGCCCAGAATACCTCGTAGCTTTTGCTAAACGAAGATGCTCAAAAGCTAGTGGCTCTCCCTTTTGCTCTGTTGCAGAGTATCTGATTCCATCTGGCTGGAAGGTCCTACCAGTCTTCAGTGCTGTTCATCTGAACCCCTCACTTCATGGAAACGCACAACAGTTTCAGCCCTGTAGATGGGAGGTACGTACGTTGTGTTCTTTCTCACTGAGACTCCTTCCTAATTACTGTTCTGCACTTGCCATCTAACTATAATAATGTCATTGATCCAATGATTCATGTTCCATAAATAGTCAAGCTTAGCTTTGTGATAATATATATTCCTACTTATTCAAAACTGAAATATACAAAAAAGAGGCAGAGGACCTATCAAACAAGCTTATCAGGGGCTTTTAGGGAATCTTCTTTAAAGTGTGTACTCTAACTAATTGCTACCTTTAATTAGTGTGTGTCCATCTGTGACATAATTACCCACAACTGTTCTGGTATCTTCAGATGCCAACCATGCTGCCTGATGTAGTGCTTGTTGTTAATGGTCCTAACCATGATTCCGTTCGTTGAAAGCCAGCCCTCTAGGCTTTGCTTCATTTTTTTTTCTTTAATGATGTTCATGGTTTCATTCATATGTGTGACTCATCTGATTGATATATACCAGGGCACAAGCCAAGGGACAGGCAAGAGGTTTACACCATTCGGTGGTGGCCCCCGGCTCTGCCCAGGATCAGAACTTGCTAAAGTAGAGGCTGCTTTCTTCCTCCATCACCTTGTCCTCAATTATAGGTAAAAACAAAGGACGGTACTAATCCTAACTGAGTTGGAGCTGATTTTTTGGCAAATCAAAGCACAGTACGCATGAGCACCATGCAGATTTTCTAACCAACTTAAGGAAGTAGTGTGGCAGGACAGTGTTAAATCCAAATAGAGCAATCTGTCAGGCCATGAACTTAAAAGCAAAATAATGCAGTTATCATTGAACCACATGCTAGGAAGTAATGGCAAGAAGGCTATGACAACACTGTTAAATAGGGAAAAAAATGATGATGCAACATGAACAAGGACTCAGAATAATGAGGTTATGATAGCAACCATCTAATTTATGTTTTTATCGACAGGGAACACAGGTCTCAAAATAAATGTTAAGTAATTTTGGATCCAGAACTGTTGGACCTATATATCAGACGACAACATACAGAACAAACATTGGCAGCATTAGGTTTTCGACAAGTACGCAATGCAAGTTGAGTGGTATCATACAAGATATAGAATTCTGCAATGTGACCAAACTGCCAAATGTTGTCCATAATAATCTTAAATCATCTGAATGTGACAAATGACCTGCCATTGTTATTATTCTTTCAGAGTAGTAAAATTACTTACAATTTTAGAAACGCCATTAGCTGATCATCGTTTTGGTTCTTGAAAACTTGGTGCCTTGCAGATGGAGAATTGATGGCGATGACATTCCGATGGCATACCCGTATGTGGAGTTTCAGAGAGGTCTGCCAATAGAAATCGAGCCAACTTCCCCTGAATCTTGACTGTCCTAAAGCTTCAGCCGCAGCGCGTTCATCAGTTAGTAGTACACCAGAGAGGAAGGGGAAGGTGGATGGAGCATATACATGAAGGATCAGTGACAAATCCCATAAGTGAAGGAAACACTGAGCACGGGCTAGTAGCTAGCACGAGGCTGAGGCAGCTGAGACTGTAATTTGATGTACATGGTGTAGATATATTTTGTCCATGTCAATTGCTTGAGGTGGTTGATTCACTTCACCCTGTAAAACATTCTCCAGTGGTTCAACTACTATCCTATAAAAAAAAAAGGTCCCCTGGGTTTCGTAAGGCTCTCATCATCTAACTCTGTAGGACTCAGCTAGATATCGTTACTAACAACTGGCCGTACTTACTCCGAAGAGACCAGGATGATGATCGCTTGTTTTTGTTCTGTGGTAACTGGGATGAAATTGTCACACTTGAATTTGGCATTAGAATGAAGAAATGATGAATAAGAATGCAAATTAAAGTTGAGGAAAACTTATGTCAACCTAGTGAGAAGGGGAGACAGACGACAAGTTATCTGGCAAGCCTGTAGGATAGTTTATTTGCCATTTGTTCAGCCAGAAGTTCCGTTCTGGAGAGTTTATTTGCCATTTGTTCAGCCAGAAGTTCCGTTCTGGAGTCAGGACGCGGCATACAGTGATACAGCTGCAAGATTAAAATGTCAAAAACAAGGGGGAAATAGTTTGTTTGCCATTTGATCGCCCACAAATTATGTTCTAGAGTCAGGAAGCGGTATACAGATGCAAAAATGAAAATGTCACAAAAGCTCTGTTCTGGAGACTGGAGTCAGGAAGTTTCAACGGCAAGATGAAAATGTAAAAAAAAAAAAAAAAAGTGGGGGAAAACAAAAAAAAAGTAAAAAAAGTTATGTATGGAGACTGGAGTCAGGAAGTTACAGCGGCAAGATGAAAATGTTTAAAAAAAGGGAAAAAAGAAGAAAGCAAAAAAAGATGAAAATGTTTAAAAAAAGGAACAAAAAGAAGAAACAAAAAAATGGCCCATGCAGGTCTCGAACCTGCGACCTTCGCGTTATTAGCACGACGCTCTAACCAACTGAGCTAATAGGCCAACTTGTCTATTGCACACTTGCGTCATTATTTTTTATTGAGATACACTGCATTGGATCAAGTCACATTCATCGCCTAGCATTGGCAGATGACATATATATAGCAATGTTTCATTCAAAGTAAAATCGTGATTTCATCCCAAAGCATCGTTTATTCATGAGAATGATAATATCAACATATGTACAAGCACAACAGTTGCTACCGACATATTTTCAAAAGTGTTCCACAAGCACACAAAATGGGGAGCATAAAGCTACCACCTTATTGAACAGAAAATAACTAGGTAGGCAGGAAACTGGATCAGAAGAAAGTCTAATTTAATGGTTCCAGGAAGGAGCAGCCACTGGACTTAAGGTATTATACTTGGGATTTCAGGAAATCTGGCTGAGTTGTAACTGATCTAACCCATGCCCATTTGTGATCATTCACATCAACAGGGTTCTTTGCCACAGCGACGTCTTCCAGTGGTATGTAACTGTAGGTCCCATTTACTGGACCAGGTACAAAGCCAGTAAACCCAGCCATGACCCCATGGATGGCGGAATGCGCCAGCAAAGTGCAATACAAATTGTCGGTGGCATTTGCAGGAACCGCTCGAATCATGTATGTAGGGTCAATGTACTTCACAGTGAACAGTTCATCGGGATGTTCTCTCTTCCACCATCTGCCCAGCTCGGATTTCAGCCAGGTTCCCACATCAAGAAACACAATGTTGCCAGACTCATCCTGCTCTCGCTTCTGATCATCAGTCCGGGGAATCAGTTCCTGACCAGCTCCTTCAGCAACCACGATGACAGCATGCCCCTTCTTCTTAATCCGCTCATGCAGAAACTCACACAGGCCACCCTTACCTTCCAGGTGGAAATCAACCTCTGGGATCAAGCAGCAGTCAACGTCCCGACTGCTCAGAGTGGCATGAAGGGCGATATGGCCTGTACTCCTTCCCATAAGTTTGACAAGGCCTACACCATTGACAGCACTAACAGCCTCCACATGAGCAGCGTCAATTGCCTGCTGAGCAATCTCCACCGCAGTTTGGAAACCAAACGACCTGTCTATAATGCCAATGTCATTGTCCACAGTTTTTGGGATCCCAGTAATGGATATGTCCAAACCGCGGCGTTTAAACTCTTGAAAGATAGCCACAGCCCCTCTCATGGTTCCATCTCCGCCGATCGCATATATCTTCAAAAAAAAAAATATTTAGACATGATCAGTTTAGTTTATACTTTATAACGAAGCACAGGCATTTGCAAAAGCACTCAAAACACGCCTAAGAACTAAGCAGGGAAACGATTGGCATAGCTGAATTTTGGTCCCGCTGTGAGTAAACAGCTCAAAAACTCATAGCCTACTTAGCCATTCTGAACCCTGAAATCTCGAACTAAATCTAAAGATATGATTTGGTGTGGCCACGGCGCGGCCTCAGGGTGGCCACGTCGCCGGCTTTTCGCGGCCGTTCGATCGGCCGCGCGGACGGCCTAGATCGGGCGAGCCGCGGTCGTTTTACGAAAAACCCCTTTAAGTTTTCGGAAATCAACCCGCGCTCCAGACGTCCTCTCAGAATTTTTTAAAAAAAACGTCTCGTATTATTTCCAAATCAACGCTCAGTCCAGACCAGATGGGCACTGGTTTGTTTGCAAAAAAGACCTCCACTTTATCGCAAATCAACTCGCGCTCCCCAGACACTCTCACCGTTTTTTGCGAAAACATCCTCAGATTTTTCTCAAATCAAAATACAGCCCAACTTTGATTATATCTTATTTTTCTCTTAAAAAATACGTGTGGCCAGTGGACCGCGCGCATGGGCGGATAGGACTACTACTCTTCGGTAATACCCATGAACTGCCCAGATTCACTGTTGGGATTTAAGTGTGTAAACTGCAAACAGTGCAGAATCCCAATTTTACATTGCGGTGCCTGTGCTCTGAGTGTTGCTCTCACCTGCGTGTACCCGCGCGCGACGATGCCGTCGACGATCTTGGCGAGATCGAAGCCACCCCGCGTGGTCTTGAGCACGGTGCCGCCCTTCTTGTGCCAGTCGTTGACGGCGGCGGGGTCGAGCCTGACGTGATCCTCGTCGGCGCCGTAGAAGCCTCGGTAGCCCGCGGCGACGCCGAAGACGTGGCGGACGCCGTAGAGCTCCTGGAGGCCGACGACGAGCTCCCTGAGCACCGTGTTGAGGCCCGGGCAGAGGCCCCCGCAGGAGACGAGCGCGGCGCGCGCCGCGGCCGGGTCGACGGCGATGTCCCCCCGGGGGCCCGCGCGGCGGTAGGCGACGAGCGGGGACGGCGCGGCGGAGGCGAGGTCGAAGAAGGCGTGGCGGAGGGTGACGTCCCCCGGGGAGATGTAGAAGGTGGCGGGCGGGTGGAAGTAGGGGTGGCGCGAGATGGGGTTCGGGACCGCCGCCGCCGGGGACGGGGACGCGAGCGCGGAGGGGAGGCGCGGCACGTCGCGGAGGGTGAGCAGCGGGAGCGTCACGGTGGTGTTGGTCGGGCCGGTGGCGTCGGCGTCGGCGGGGGTGCCGCCAGAGCTGGGGGCGGCGGTGGGGTCCATGTGTCGGTCGGCGAGGCGGGTGCGAGGGGGGCGCGCGGCGGGATGCGACTATGGGAGCGAGACGGTCAAGACGGAGTGGGGCGGGGGTTTTACTCGCGCGACGTGTGGCGGTTTCAGCGGGTCACATCAACAGCTCGTGACTTTTTTTTAAGGATGAGGAAAAAAATGGCCACGTATACAGTGTTAGGCACCGCAGGGCGTAGCCTCGAGTCGACACGTCGACCATTGTGTAAGTAATCTCGTTTTATTCCAGTTAAATGAGGTGTTTACTTTGCATTTTGCGACTCAGGGATCTGATGCATGGTCGGCACACCTTCCCCGGCGCAGTTGGCAAGGAGGCCACCGCATCACACGGCGGCATTCATGGCGCATGGCTGCCACAGTGCTCATCGTATCCAGCAACGAACTTCCAAGTGAGCACTGCGCTGCTGCAGGGATCTCATCCACCAACGAACTGCCAAGATTTTCATCCATAATTCACTGCGCTAAAACTTAATTAAATTTAATCTTTGCAAAATTTAATTAAATATATTAAACAAAGGATGCATGCGTGCATATGGGCAACAGGGTGCATGCGCCACGCAGGCTAAAACAGATACTTTGAAATTTTATCTAGGGCAGGGAACTAATGCCTACTATGGTCCAGAGTCCTGACGGTGCTTGACTAGTGCTCGTGTATAGTTCGGACAATCAATATCAACTAATTATAATGGATATGAGAGCCTCTGCTAGAAAATTAGCACAAATATGAGCCTGGCAAGATTCAAACAATTTTAAGATAGGCACCATAACATAGAGCGCGATTTAAAAAAAAAATCTGAAACAAGTTTCATAATTTTCCTAGCTAAAATAATTTGTCTATGAATTTTCAGAATCAGGAGTAAACCAAGTTTTAGGATTTTTAATTGCATTATATTTCCTCGAAAAATATAATTGAATAATATTTTGATTTTATTATTAAATTTTAGATGTTTTTATAATAATTTTCTAGTCTCATTTACCTCTTGAACTTTTAACTTGATCTGATTGACCCTCCAGACATGGCACCGCATCATCAAAATCACCGTCAAAACCGCCAAGGTGCAAAAAATGTATGGTTTTCAAAATTTCAAGAGGTAAAAAGCTGGTTTTATAGATCAGTAAGGAAAATCGGACGATGGTGATAGTTGAGAGAGAAAAATCGGACTTCTTCCCGAATCCAAATGATGCGAGTTTCGCTGGCGTCGGGGCCATGTTGGCTTGTTGTATGGGCCGATATTACTGCATAGGCCATAGGGTCTCGGCTTTGGCTTGGATGTGGGCTGCGGCACGCCCAGCTTCCGCGCCCTGTCTCTCTCTCTCTAGATTGGATGCTTCTGGAGTCTGGACGCGCGGAGATGGGGCGGGTGACTCAAGTGAGCTCGATCTAGATTGGCACAAGACGCCGACGGCACGGCAGGTTTCCCCAATCCGGCAAAACCCCTTTTCGTGCCTCTGGTCGGCCGAGCCCGATAGTGCCAGATAGGAATCCAAACAGTCCGCACGTCATCCCCGCCTGCGGAAGCCCAGCCGAAGGAACGAGAACAAACCGCCCCCAAACTAGCTGTCACCCCCGTCGCTTCCTTCACGTCTCCTCCGCCGCCCCGTCTTCTTCTCCCTCCTCGCTAAGCAAAAGCAACCTGCAACTGCAACCCTTCTCTTCTTCTTTTCATCCTCCTCCGATTCCGCGAAATCCCCCCGCAGCTCTTCGTTCCCCGAGGAACGAGCCCGCCACCGGAGATGTCGTACGCCTACCTCTTCAAGTACATCATCATCGGCGACACAGGTCCGTCCCGTTGGTCCCGTCGCCCCCCTCCCTTCCTCCGTTCCCCGATTGGATCCGCGCGCCTCGCAACCTGCTGCCACCGCCGCGGCGGCGGCGAGATGGAGATCCAATCTAACCCGCTTGCGACGATGATGCTGACGGCCTTCCCCTGCATGGCTTGGCTTTGCTTTGCTGCAGGCGTCGGCAAATCGTGCCTGCTGCTGCAGTTCACCGACAAGCGCTTCCAGCCCGTTCATGACCTTACCATCGGCGTCGAGTTCGGGGCCCGGATGATCACCATCGATAACAAGCCCATCAAGCTCCAGATTTGGGACACGGTCGTTACCCCTCTTTCTCCGCTACTTTCCTTCGTTCGTACGCATCCCTTAGATACTTACTTCAGGTCGCCATAGGATCTACCACTACCAATTGAAGCAACATAATTGCTTCCTCAGTTGCTTACTACTTGCTTGATTGTTCATGGGACTTGAGCTACTCAAGTTCGGTTGCAAACTTGATTTTACGATGTCCAATTGGTCTGACATAAAGTTGTTTTGGAGGGTCTGTAGTTCAAGATGAAAACATTGCATCTTGCTGAGCCCTGGAGCTACAATATTCTGGATATTCTTTTTGTTCTGTATCAGTTTGCCTCGCCCCACTGAAATTATTGGATTATTAGCGCACTGAACTATGGGACCGTTTGTTGATTTAAGCTATCCTTGGCGCCACGCCACAATGTTAATAATATGGAATACCCACGTGGCCACATGCATCATCCATCTGACCTGACTGCGCTGTCTTTTAACATTTTCCAGGCTGGGCAAGAGTCATTCAGATCCATAACTAGGTCATACTACAGAGGCGCTGCTGGTGCTCTTTTGGTTTACGATATCACTAGGTGATTACCCCCACAAATTCTTAGTAGCTTGGGTGGCCTTTCTCATGCACGCAGTTTCCTGAATCATGCTGATTCTGGCATTCAAATCCATGTTGAACTGATTTCAGGAGGGAGACTTTCAACCACCTGGTAAGCTGGCTGGAGGATGCGAGGCAGCACGCGAATGCTAACATGATGATTATGCTTGTTGGGAACAAGTGTGATCTGTCTCACAGGCGTGCGGTGAGCTACGAGGAAGGCGAGCAGTTTGCAAAGGAACATGGCCTTATCTTCATGGAGGCCTCTGCAAAGACTGCGCAGAATGTCGAGGAGGTGATGCTTGATTCTTGGTGTATCTATGTGCAGTTAAAATATTTTCCAATTTCCTCATGCGGCATGAACTTTTAAACACAGGCATTTGTTAAGACTGCTGGAGCAATCTACAAGAAAATCCAAGATGGCGTTTTCGATGTATCTAATGAGGTACCTTTTAATCCCAAACCGTCACTTTTGCTCTGCTTAAGGAAAATGTAGTGAGCCCCTTCGATGTTACTCTAAGTACCATTTAAAGAACTTATGTAGATTCTTAACCGATGTATTACAGCCCAAAACCTTCGCTGAGATGAGTGCCAGATACTCATGTACCTTTGTGTTCCATTTTGGAGTACTATATATGGGTTGCCTTACGAAGTGCATAAGTCATTATTACCTATCTCATAGAAAGTTTATCCCCTTCTCCTTACAACCTTCATACACTGAAAGGTTGAAATGAGGATAGCCAAACCTGGAAACTGGAAAGGACAATATTGACAGGCAGAGTGCCTGTTTGTCCTTGCGATCTCTTGAAACTTGCTGTTAATTAAGACCTTGTACCAATGTTTTCAAGGCGGTAAGGCGAGGCGTGGTGACTGACTACCACCTTACGCTTAAGCGACTAAGGCGTGAGGCGAGGCGACGCCTTAACAGCTTAAGGAAAACTTAAAAAAGCAGCTTAGGGCAGTCAATAATGAAGAAAAACGAAAAGGAAAAAATGAAAAAGAAAGGAGAAGGAGCAAGAAGTAGCCTGACCCAGCCCACCAGACAGCCCATATATGCCCCTAACCTTCCTAGGTCATCTCTCGAACTCCCAATCCTCTCTCCAGCGCCGCCGCATCTCTCTCTCTCTCTCGTTCTCCATTACCACTCCGCCTCCGCCCCTGTCTCTTGCTTCCCTCTCTCCTCCAGATGTGCTGCTCTGCTTGCGGGATGTTGTAGGATGTTGCAGGCCAGCGCCGATTGGGGAAGATGGCCGTGGCCCGCACAGGCGGCTGCACGGCTCGGTGGCAGGCGGGCGGCAACTTCTCCCGTCGGCGCAGGAGAACGCGCGGCACGGGCGAGCTGCGGCTTCTTGTTCCCCTCCCGCTCTCCCGCTTACGGGTGTGGAATCTCCCGCGCACCCGCCTCTCGCTCCCGCTCTCCCGCTCACTAGTGTGGAATCTAAGGCGAGTCGTCACTGGTGTACTCTTAATTTATATAATGAATCGCTGAGAAGTAGCTTTTTCTGAAATGGTATAAGTGGATAAACTTGATAATATAATTTTGCGGGGGAGGCGTTGTTGATGCTGAAAGAGATAGATTTTTACTTGTTAGTGTCTAAGGATTAGCAGATAAAGCATTTTTTCTGGAAACTAGCAATTCTCTGATGGTGAAAACGCCATTTGCCACCAGGAAACCTTGTCCTGCTCTCCAAAACATTTTGCTTGCTTACAATATGTATCTTGTTACCGCCACATGAGTATGATCTCATACATCTTTTGTCAAATTCGCAGTCTTATGGAATCAAAGTTGGATATGTAGTCCCTGGCCAATCTGGAGGTGCTGGTAGCTCGTCTTCTCAAGGTGGTGGCTGCTGCAGCTAATCTGCTAACGCCGTTATTATGTACCCAGTGCAGAGAGCACTCGCTCTGTGTGGGGTCTGGGGAAGGGTGTCAGTGGCAAGCCTTACCCTCGCCTGTGCAATGCGAGGAGACCGCGACTCGAACCCGGGACCTTCCGGTCACAGGCGGTAAGACTCTACCGCTTGCACCAGGCCCGCCCTTCAAACGCCGTTATTATGTACAAAGGCATATATGTCGTGTGTACAAAGGCATATCTGTCGTGTCATATACCAGCTGCGTTATCTTCATGTTTCTGAGCGTAAAATAGTTACTACTACAGGGTGCTTTGTTATTTGACGCGCCAATGGATTCTGTGCCTGAACGATTTAAGAGATTCGGTTTATTTATGTCAGGTGTTTACAAACTCTGTAAATCACTAGATTCTTTACTGTCTTCTGTCATTAAGCACTCACGAATTCTGTCCATTTGCATGTGTAATTGTAAATAAGATACCTCGATGCATTGTTTGGTATGATATTAGTTTGTCTTATTTGAATATGTTGGAACTCCATGTTTCGGCAAATACACGTCTTGGATACATGAGCTTATCAAACTATGATGGGGCCAATCACTGAATAGTGAAATACTCTGCTTCCAGAATGGTCAGAGGTTCTGTTTAGGATCGTGGTAGCTTTCCGCGATATGTACCAGGCATAGTTTTGCCTGTAAGGAAAAATTAGGGGCACCTTTTATGTGTGCTTAGCTGATGCATCTTGCTGGTTTTGTAGTTAAACTAGGTAGCGTGTCTGTGCGTTGCTACGGGATAACTAACAATTTATACTAAAAATACACGGATTGCACGATAAGATAACAATACTATTAAATTAAATACTAACGTTAAAGTGACTTTTAATCTAAAAAGTAAACTTTATAAATTTAACACAGTCACGGAGTGTGCGGCGTCGCAGGCTCACAAACTCTAGAGCTTCCAGAGATTGAGTCGAATCCAACCTAGAGCATCGGAACCCTGCATCTTTTTCTGGATGGGCTTCACTTTGGATGTGCCGGTAGCAGTATCAACGATCTTCAGTCGATGGACCAAGTCATATGGATTCTCGTACAATGGTTCAGACATGTAGATTTTATTCTCCTTATACTTGGATATACTTGTTTCACTAAAGCTTTCGTTGAAATGTTTAGACACGAATAGTGTCTAATCACCGATGTCCCTCATCCTGGACCACTCCGGCGTACGGTCGTGGAGGTTGCACTTGTAGATCGCGCTGTTGTAGGTGAAGCTCTGTGTCTCGTGGATCGTGCTCACCATGGCACCCACAATGTGCAGCTCACCGTTTGATTCCAGGTAGCTGCGATGGCAAAGCCCCGCAGGTGGCGACAGCGATGGCAGCAGTGTCGCGGTTGGAGTAGCGCCGGCGGCGTTGCTGCTGTAGACGGAGATTTCTCCAGTGCAGTCGATCGCCAAGAACTTGTCTTGGCAGTGGACGATGGACCACACGGAGAACTCCAGTTTGGTGTCGAGCAGCGTCCATGCGCTGTCGACTCCAACCCAGCAGAACGCGACCTCCGTGGAGCACCCAAGCATGGCCATGGCCACGCACTCGCGGCCGGCGACGTCAGGCGGCGCCGAGAGCACGATCTCACGGAAGAACACGTCCTTCATGTCTTCTAGTTTGATGGCTCTGCCTGCGGCATCCGCGTCCCCGTAGCTGTTGGTGGGATGGAGGACCCACCAGCCGTGGACCCTAGACACACGTTTCGATGAGGACGCCGCCGCAACGTGTTCGCCTGCTGGCGGGAGCTCAACGCGGGGGGCACGGGCACCGGCGAATGGATTCAGCAGCGTCACGGATGCCGCCTCGTCCATGAGCGCCAGCCACCCACACAAGGAACCGAACGCCACCTTGCCGCGCACGTCGGGCAGCGTCTTGGACAAGACCTTCTCCGGGACGCAGTAGAAGCCGACGCGGTCCGAGTCGGGGTCGAACGGGAGCAGCAGGAGTGGCCCGAAGGTCGCGAATGGGACGGCGGCGCGTCATGGGGAGCAAGCGGATCGAAAGGACGCTGCGTCGTGGCCTGACGCGAAACGTTGTCCGATGGACTCGAGGAGATCCTCTGGCAGGCCGGATCTCTAGTCAAGGAGAGGTAGGGACCTTCTCTTGGGATTGGGAGGCTGAGCCATGGAAGACGGATGACATTAACTATGGTTCACGCAAGAAACAGCAAGCGAGGACGATGGAACACGTGAGCGTGAAACTAAATGAAAGGAGGAAAAAGTTGTCCCTTTTGCAAATGCAAAGAGGGGAAGTAATTAAATGTAGACAGATTTGACAAGGTTCTCAGAAATACAAAGAGGTTCCTTTTATCTTAATTCTCTTTCCTTTTGCTCGTTGCCATGTATCCTGGTGCATGCAAACATGCAATGTGTATATGGATAGCACAATAATTTTCTATTTCCTATTTTGCCGTGATTCCTCTATCACACGGCAGACAATATTCAATCAAGGAGAATGGCACGATCAATCAGTAATTAAGATGTCGTGGGATCGCAGGCGTGGGCAGACGGACGAACCAAAACAAATGTCGTACAAAAAAAAATATCTACACTTTGTTCTTTTTAGTCGTAGGAGATTCACAAAGACTTCCGGCCGAGGGAAGGCGAAGTAAAAAAAAGTAAAAAAGAAAAAGAGACAGAAGAAGTAAAAAAGGAAAAAGAAAAGAAAGAAGTAACCAGCCGAGAGAAGTAATTTTTTTATAAAAGAAAGAAGTAAAAAAGGAAAAAGAAAAAAGAAAGAAAGATAACAAGGTTTGCAGGTATTGCATCTTGCTGGTTTTGTAGTTAAATTCACAAAGGCTTCCAGCCGAGAGGAGAAGTAAAAAAGTAAAGAAGTTAAAAAAAAGAAATAAGTAGATAGAAGGAGAGAGAGAGAAATAACAACGAAGGAACGGTGTTTTTCTCTCACAACAAATCAGTGAACGGTACTTTAGCTAAACGAACAGGGCCGATGAATAAGCTGTTCTTCCCCCCCCTTTCTTTTTAAAAATGAACCGAGCTGTTCTTGTTTCTGGTTCTCAAAATCACTGGTCCAATCCAATACTACATCAGTTCATGTACTTATGCCAAGATATAGATCCGATTAATAAGCAGACAAACAAAAATGAAGAGTTGGTGCCAAAATCATCATGGAATTGTTTGTAGTCTACTGCACTCTACACCAAGCAACAGAAACTTACACACCGATCAAGTACGTAATTTACAGCGTCTGCTTCTACTCTGCTGCATCCACGAAGGAGCTTAGCACGTCTTACACACACGCCTGCACCGACCACCGCATACCAAGATCCCCAGGCAGGCAGTCAGTTAGTCAGTTAGTACCTGCCTGGTTGGTTGCAGTCGAAGCAGGTGTGGTTGCGGCCGAGGTCCTTGATCCTGTCGTAGCCGTGCCTGAAGACGCCGAGGCCGAAGAGGACGCCGATGAGGAGGCAGATGACCAGGATCACCAGCACGTAGCACCCCACATGCTCCTTGGTGAACTTGAGCTTGCACATGGCGCCTCTCTCCGGGTGGGTATCTGACTGACTGTTAGGGAGGGGGGTTCTTATCGGAGGGAAGTATGCTTAGGCAAGTGTCTGTCGCCCCTGTCCCTTCGGCGGTATGGCAACGGTATCGCTTACAGGTGAAGCTACAGCACAGCGAGGGGCAGGTCAGAGCTGCGCGTACCCCTGATGATGATGTGCCTTTTGCCTTTGTGCCATGCCAAGGCCTTGTTGAGATACCCTCAAAATTCCAAGTTTTTTACTCTCTCTCCATCATATCAATTTTTAGCTATTTGTATGGAGCATTAAATATAGATAAAAAAAATAATTAATTGCATAGTTTAGTTGGAAATCACGAGATGAATCTTTTGAGCTTAGTTGGTCCACGATTGGACAATATTTATCAAATAAGACGAAAGTGCTACTATTTATCGGGTTGAAATTTTTTACGATCTAAACATGGCCCAAGAAGAAATGAAGAATCTGATCGCCGCGGACTGTATGGACTAACCCACGACACATGGCTCTCTTTTTCTACGATTGTACGAATAATTGCCGTGTAAAGCTAGTGCGGCCAGGAGAAGGACGGAGGGACGAGCGTAAACCCAGGGCATGTGGACAAATTTATTCGGTGATAGCTACTCCACTCTACAAGCTACAGGTGGATGATATGATCGGTTCCGCTATCAGTCGGCGGTGTTTTCAGGCATTTGGGGACCGGATTGCGATCCACAATCCGGCGGTTGCGTTGCAGCTCTGAAAACACAATCATAGACGCCCATGCCTAGGCTAGGGATGGTATAGCAATTTGTTGGACGAGACGCTTGCAGGCCGTGGTGTGCCTGCCTCGCGACTGGTTCGGGAGGCCATCGACACGACAGCGCACGGCACGGCAGTAAGGACTGCCACCGGCCACCGCTCCGCGGCTCGCGGCCCCGCCGATCGATTGCCGACGGTTCGTGCGGCGGCGCACGGACGACACCGCCACGATGCACCTGCTGAAAGCCTGAAAGTGATAGCGATGACCGGTGGGAGTGGGTAGGTGACGGAAGCAGCAGGTTCTAGGGTGATCCCACCGGCGGACATCACACGCCGGGGCAAAATAGTTGATTTAATTTGAGACGGAGGCTGGGGCAAATGAATGAGACGGAGTACTGCCTACCCTTATAATAACAACACTAGAGAAATAAAAATAAAACTTATAATTTTTTTTTATCAAAATTAGTTAAATTATATGCAAGTTATGGATATAAAACTTGCATCAACAGATTTGTGTAAATAATCTCTGAGATTATATTAATTTTGTAGCAATCGACCAAATATTAGAAGAGAAACTAAGGGTCAGAATCTTATTGTGCGGAAGGAGTATCCAGTGCTACTCAACAGTCAACACTGTATCTGTATTGACAGATCGCCAGGTGACGCCGACCAAAGTGGGAGAAATCAAGGTGGGCAATGGGCACGGAGTATCTTCATCTCTGTTCGCAAGCTGAACTTGTCCATTTTGACCAACTCTGAACCATGTAAACGTTACAAAGAAAACGAATGGCTCAATTTGTTACCAAAAAAACAAAACATCCTGAGACAAAATCAACAGCGCAATCATGGCAATTCAAGCTCAACAGCTTCAGATGATCCAAGCATACTTTCCTTTACCGAGCACGTTTCTTCAGTACAGCAGAAAACTCAATACAGGCCACCAGCAAGTCGCATGAGAGAAAATTGTAGATCTTCAGCAAAATCAGTATCTCCGATCGATGGGAATTTAGCTTCAAGCAGAGCCAAAGATCAAATAGAGGCAGAAACAACTGCAAGGCATAGCTCTAGATCAATAATCCCCATGTGAAAACACAAGCATACAACCTTAGATATCCAAAGTTCTGCGGCATCTTATATGTATGCCAGGGGAAAGACATTACAAATTAACTACAGTGTAAACCTAAGACAGACATGAATGATAGGCCAAGGTGATCTCCACAACAAGAACTACTGAGATTGAGATATTTTGTCCGCGTTCATCAGAAGGGTAACAATGCAACATTCTTTCACATAGCATGCAGGGGAAAGAGGTTACATTGTACGGGAAACTTGTCAGGCAAGAGAGCCGACAGCAGGGGAACAATAAAGCTCAGCGCGGCCCCCGGCCCCGACCACGTCCACGACCACGGCCGCGACCACGCCCCAAGGGCTTTCCTGAATAGAACAAACATTGACCAGTCAGTTGGTATCATTAGTAACAATTAGACTCAATCAGAACAAAAGCGGAGGAAACCAAACCTGTAGTTGGCTTCTTAGGCTTGACCCTAGGGGTTTCCTCTACCAGCAAAGTTTCCAAGTTTAAGCTGTCAGGAAGAATGTAATAGCGAATGTTGTTTCCTCGCACGCTAAGGTGGTCAAGTGTTACAGGGTTCTTCCCTTTCAGTGTAAGCTTCACTGTCTTCAGATGAGTGTTCATGCTTATGTCAACACCTACGAAAAATGTGCATGAATCAGAGGATATGCTGTAAAAACTAATCCATGATCCTAGATTAATCTCATCAGTATTAGCAAAATATGTGCGGATCATAATATTGTGAGTACACCGTTCAAGGGCCAGAACTGCAATCAAACAGTAATTTCCTGAATTGTACCACAAAGAAAAAGGAAAGTTAAAACAAGCCTTTCACGATGTATATTCCCCTCTCTTGTGGATAACGAACTTTTGCATGCCCCCAACATCAAAATGTAGTTTACAGGCAACCCTATCCACCCAAAACATTAACATGAAAAAATCTACAAAGTTGTAAGCTACCATTCCAATCCAGATTCCCAAGAAACCCCTCTTAAGAAGAAAAAACAATATTCTCCACTAGCATCATCTATGTATTTCATTATATGAAATAGTGTATGACATCATCTAAGTTTCACATGTATTAAATTACTGAAGGAAGGGCACAAGTACATGGGAAGCTAAAACAATTGCAAATTCAAGTGTGCACTTGAATACCAACTGATGCAATTCCCATTGTTTTAACAGACATCTGACCAGGTGACCATCCCCTAGCACTAATGGATCTAAAATTGAAGGCAACCAATTGACAACTTCAATTATCCACCCACTAGTCATCACTCGACAGGAATGCTCCCTTGATAAAGAAATCCTACAAGAAATTTAGGGCTAAGCAAATCTCCTGTGAGGCTATGAACCATGCAGAACAAAAGAGTAAAACCCAAGTCTAATTGAATATACCCAAATAGCAAATTTCAGTGGGATGGCATAAACCACACATATGGTTTTATTTGAAAGGACTTGTGGCGCATAACAGATACAAGAGCTGTGCGCAAAAGGGATGCTGAACTCTACTTGTCTCTAAAGCTAAGTCAGACGACAGTTGGCTCCCAGACAAACAACACGGTACACAAGCAAATCACACTACCTCTTCAGATCGAGCTGAACAAATCCTAAGGAAGTAAGCATACAAGCACCGGACAAAAAACCCTAGAATTTGAAGCCTCTTCAGATCGCAGAAATTTAAAGGTTTCCCCGCAGCCCCGCTACCGCTAGAGGTTAGAGTCGAAGCGTACCGGTGATGGTACCGTGTACAACCGTGCCGTTCTTGAGCTCGATGGTGACCGTCTCATTGTTCAGCTTCATAAGGAACCTGCGGCGAAACCCCAAATCGAGCACCAAATTAGGCGAGGTTCGTACCAAACGGAGCGGCGAGGAAGGGCAAAAGAGGAGCCAATCCGAACAAAGGGCGAACGAGTACGGGGGGCGTTACCTGACGAGCTTCATCTTGGCGGGCCTGACTTAGGGAAGGAGCGGCGGCGGCGGGGAGAAAGCGCGGAGGCAGCCGGCGGAGCTGACGCTTGTTTGCTTTCTCGGAGCGGGAGGAGTAAACCCTAGTTTGAAGGCTGATCTGGCCGACGGGTGGGAGGCGGTTCGAGCGGCTTAGTTGGGCCTTTGTTGGGCCATTTGATTGAGCTTTATGAAAGTCTATACTATTTTTTCTTGCAAATCCATTCAAATACGGTAACATGCGTTTCTTGTTCCTGGCAAAATATGTTCTTATATAAGGTTCAAAAATTTTTTTGTTCTTATATAAAAACTAAATTCATAGGAACCGAGAGTATCTCTTTTCCTTTTCTTTTTCCGCCGCCGAGAGTATCATTTTTGCGTGTGCTTGTGTAGCTTGACTGCATAACCAGGGATTGTAAATAGTGCTTGTCTTGTGTGTAGCTAATTAAAACGACTGCATAAGCATGCTGTAGTTTGCACAAGAAAATTTATGTCCATTCAATCGAGAACTGAATGTACGAGCTCATCGGGCTACAAAGTACAAAATACCTCGGATTCCTCAGGTGTAGTTCAATTGTTCAAATGTATCAAGTAGATGCTGAGCAAGCTTATCTAGTTATCTTTATCACGTTCATTCATGTGGAAGAAAACAGCATGTTCACTGAAGGGTAGGGCTATTGTCCTCTGAAGCTTTATTTGCTCAAAGTTTCAGGCTACCAGAATAGAAAAACCAAAGGCCCAGCCAGGCGCCAGCAGTGAACAAAGATTGAAGAATATACATAGGAAGACAATCAAAATTTTACTATACTAGCTGACACATGATGAACGAAAGGTCAACCCACGCTGATCCTAAACCGAATCCCCTCTTCCTACTGCGGTGGAATGGCTGCCAACTTCTTAGGTGGGGGATTTCCTCCCGCAAGCAGCACATAAGCATAGAAACAACCCATTGCAGTGCTGCATGATTTTCAAGCAGGTGAGAACATCAGATCTTGTCCAAAGGGGACAACGGCGTTGGATGGAGATGGACAGTATAGAGAAAATTACCTCAGTGAAGCGTAGAAGCCCCAAGGAAGGAGTCTATTTGTCTGCGCACAGAAGTAAAGATTAGCACTATATTGACAGTAATTGTACTATATATTCTGTACGAGTTAGAGGAGTTACCAAGAAGTAAGCATGAGAGTACTTCCATGCCAGGAAAGCAGAAATTGCTGCAAAAACACAGGAAGAGCAGGTTGATAAGCAATGGGACACAGGTACACCTAGTTTCACTGTGATTACATTGTAACTCAGATACTTTGTATCACAAAGCTTAGGATGATGATATCCATTCTACCTGCTTGGGCCAAGATAAGCAGGAAGCTGGATCTGCCGCTCCTCCAAAACTTTAGACTGAGAATACCAAGTAGCAGAGTGGCAAGTCCTGGTGCAATACCCAAGACAAGACTTATGGTGCTTCTGGAGAAGATGTATCCTAGAAGCCCCATAAAGAATAAAAGACCACCTACATTACCAAATGAAGTATCATTATTTCACTTATCTATATGTCGATACATGAATGACAACCAAGTTGATATTTCCAAAACTTAAAAATATTGAACTGCTCAGAAATACGGGATGCCACGTGTGCGAGAAGAACAAGGCCAGTGGAACAATTTGTCATCAAGTTTTAAGTATGGAAGCACAAGATGCTGATTTCCAGTAGTCTAAGATTTATCATTTGCCACATCAGATCTCTATATAACATAACATGTTAGATAATGAGTTTAGAACAGCTTTGCTATCAAGAAAATGAAACTATGTTTGCAATCAACACATTTAGAACAACTTTGAACAATTTATGCTATGACCAGCTCTTAATTCCTTGAAAGCTGCCAAACATCTTTCAGAAAACCGACAGTTGATACAACATAGAAGTCTCCAGTGCATGATTTGTATCCATCTAAGCACACAGTAAAGGTATACATTATTGGAACTCAAACTTACCAAAAGGGATCCCAAGGCAAAAGTCATGGATTTTAGCACTCCTCTTCTGAGGAATAACATGCTGCTCCACCTGTAATTCCTTCATCTGGTCTGATTGCAAATCTAACTCTTCAACTCGAGCATTCTCATTGGCACATTTTGTTGAAAGTTTAGCAGAAAAACCAAATGGATTCGTACAAACTCCACCTGTAGAAATCGAAAGCTGTGGAGAAAACAAAACATGTTAATCCATCCTCTGATAGTTATAGCCAAGCAAACTTTCAGCAAGAGCACAGATTAATACGGTGGTTAACATCAACGCCTTATTTAATATTTCAAGAAAAAAATACAAATATCAACATATACAAACGAAATGCATGGAAAATACCTATATCTATAACACATTAAGCACATTGTTCAGAGAAAATAAAACATTCATCTGTTTCAGATCACGATCCAGGATCAATTTTGTCCACTTAAGAACAGGAGATTCAAAAGACAGTCCTTCTAGGCTCTAGGTTCGGACAAACACATAATTGCTGATAGAATTCTTGACTCCTCGAGGCCAAGAGCTCAATTCAGCGGAATTGGAAATTTGCTGACGCAGAGGACACCAGAAGAACACAGACGCACCGGTACTGCCTTCAGTTCATCATTTTATACATAAACCAACCCTACTGCAGTAACAAATAGATCTCGAGCCACGAAACAAGAACTCAATTTCTGCCCAAATGCCCATCAACACCAAGTCATCAAATAACCTCTTTTGAGTCTTCTCCCTCACTTCTTCGCGATCCCATCGGATCTCATTTCCATATGGTCGTGACTAGAGGTAGTCGTGACCAATGTCCAGGTAAACCTTATACTAGGTTCTTCGCAGGAAACAATCGTAGGGCAAGAGCGTCAGGAATACCAAGTTAGGGTTTAGAACTAGAATCCGAGGCATACCTTCGGGGAACCAGCTAGAAGGCTCTGCCGCCACCGGCATGAGGATGGAACTGAGTAGGCTCGAGTGCGGCGATATGCCGCCGTGGCGGCAGCCGATCCGTGCAGCTGCGCCGCCGCCGCCGCCATGGAACACGAAAGACGAGACCGTGGAACGGGACTCTGGAAGATTTCCGGAAAGGGGGTGCGCTCTCTGTAACCGTCGGATGCTATCAACCCCACAGAGGACTCGTCATGACCGTCCGATCAGAGAGAGGGGGATCCTCCTGAAGAGCTCGGGTGCAGACTGCACACGAGTGCACTTCTGCCCCGTTCGGCTGGTTCAAAAAACGGGATGCTCATAGTGATACTGATTTATTGTAAGAAAAAAATACTGTTATTTTACTAAAAATACTATTATTTTACTAAAATGATACGGCTGATAAGTTCACGTAAATAGGGTCTTCGTCTGGCTTTCTGTAATTCACAGAATTTTATTTCCCGTGAATTCTTCAGATAAAACGAATTCAAATAAAAAAGATTCAAAGGTATCAAGGGAAAATTGTTTCGTATCGGAGACATAATTAGACAACTCCAATTCTTTTGGACAAAACAATTTGAGGTTTTGCACCGGAACTGTCGTTATTCAGAGCACTGGCCCTGAAACAGAGGAGTCCAAACTAAAATTGCATGATCTTCTTGTCGAGGACCAATAATAGAGTATCCGAAGAGGAGGAGCTAATGGTCATCAACATTGATTCAACTGACCCCTAGGTGCGCGGGCTCCGCCTCACCCGACCTCTGGGGCGGGCTCCGCCTCACTCGACCCTGAGGCCACGATCTCCGCCTCACCCAACCTCAGGGGGCGGGCTCCACCTCACTCGACCCCTAGGCTATGGGCTCCGCCTCGCCCGATCCCGAGGCCGTGGGCTCCGCCTCGCCAGACCCCTTGGGTGCGGGCTCCGTTTCACCCAACAGGGACCCATACCGCCGCCAACCACTCCAGATCGTATTGGCCTGGGTCAAAACTCTTACACCAAGGAAGAGACCGGCACGCCCCGATGTAACCCGCGGCCACGATGGGCCATACCTGAGGATTCACATCAAGAACAGCGTCGGGTGTACCGGTGCTGTTCTGCCTAACACTCGTACGAACGCTGACAGACGCGTCAGCTCACCACGACGTCTGTCAGGACGGAGTGGAGCGCCATGACCGGCGAATGACGCCTGCGCATGGCGCCAGTGACGGACAGGACCGCGACGTGGAGCCATCCCTGTTGACATCTACAGGGTCGGCGGGACCAGCATAAAGGAAAAGAAGGACCCGACGATCCTGGAGGCCTTCCTCTCTCTCATTCTTCTCCTTTTCCTCCGCTATAACCTGCACTTTCCCTTGGCCTATAAAAGGAAAAGCAGGGCGCCCCATGAAAGGGATCCTGAACTGATCGACCCATCAAGATTCGATACAGATCCGCACAAGAGCACGACACGAACACACAGCTGAGCAGCGATCGAGCTCTCAGCACACACTCACTCCTTTCACCAGAGACTTGGGATCATCTCCCTCTCTCGTCCGTTTGTAACCCCTACTATAAACTTTCGGTGCTAGTAACACGAGCAGCAGCGACGAACTAGACGTAGGGACTTTCTGCCCAAAATAGTATAAATCTCGTGTCCTCTAAGCACACCATCCGAGCCAGATGCGCAATAATACAAATTTACTCGTCGGTGGTAACTCGAAACACCGACAGTTGGCATGCCAGATAGCGGCTTTTTGCGCGTCTCGGATGTCCACATCAGGCCTCGGATGGCTAGTCACAACGTCAACTGGGTCCCGAGCGCGCACGTGCACTTCGGGAACCTGGACTTCATCGTCACGACGGAGGGAGAGTTAGTGCGGGCTCCCATCGTCGTCCAACCTCTCCACTCCGCTGGCCTCGACGCGATCGCCGAGGTGCTTGAGGAGCTACAGCTGCACGCACCAGAGGCCCGCACCCCCGATAGCGACCAGCTCCTCGGCTTCAATTACGGGAGGCTAGAGTGCCAGCTCGGCTCCTTCTTGGGACCCTGACCATCCTAGGAGGACTTACGCCACCTCACCTTCTCGTTCGCCAACGTCATGACGCAACTTGCCGGAGAAGAGCCGCTCTCCCCGGAATACCTCATTCGGAGCGCCCCGACAGCGCTCCCGTCCAGTCTCCGCAACACCGCAGAGACCGTTGGGCACCCTGTGACACAACGTACGCCTCTATCCCCTGCGAATGACGAGTTCGTGGGGATGACTGAATATGTCGCAGAATCTTTCGATGACCTCCTCGCGGGAGAATAGGGGTCGCCCTCCAACTCTGACTCCAGCGGGGGGAACCATCACCCTTCTCGTGAATGTTTCATGACAGGTACCCTCGAGGGACACGTCGAAAGCATCCACGAGAGAGAGGCTACCCCTACGAACGACCTCGACGATGAGGTCGAGAGGGATGTAGGGGCCCCACCTCGCCTGCTAGTGGAGCAGCTGAAGGCCTGGCACCAAGAGCTCGAGAAAGCATGACTCTAGCTCGAGCAGGAAAGCATGGAGCTCGAGCAAGAGATCGAGCGCCATGGAGACAGCGAGCGTGCGCGTGCCGTGGCCCGCGACGTGAACCAAAGGATCATCGAGGATGATGAAGCCCTCCCACACTTCACCCAGGTGAGCCAGAACATCGCTGCTGCTGCGGCCTTGCTCCGGGGGCTTCCGGGGCCCACGACGCCCGAGGATCATTGGGCCCATCGTGAGATGCAAGTGTGCAGCGGCGCAACAGGATGAGAGCTCAGTGTCCCAACGATGCGAGCTCGATGCCAGCCAGCGCGCACCCTCAGAGCGACCCAACATGGACGTATCAGTCCACCAGGCACAGCGAGGCGGCAGGCCACACACCGTGGTCCCGGTGCACGAGCGTCTCGGCCGCAACCGTGACACGCGCGACACCCTCGATGCCCGTAGGCATGCCCTCGGTGACGTGAGGGAGGGGTCCAGCCATGGCTACCACCCGCGTCGTGGTGGACGCTACGACAGCGGCGAGGACCGAAGCCCGAGCCCCGACTTGCCGGGACCTCAGGCCTTTAGCCGACACATCCTCAACGCCGCCTTTCCACCGCGGTACCGACCGCCGACCAACATCCTGAAATACTCCAGGAAAACGAACCCAGGACTGTGGCTCGAGGATTATCAGCTTGCTTGCCAAGCCAGTGGAGCGGATAATGATGATTTCATTATCCGCAACCTTCCATTGTTCCTGGTCAATTTGGCGCGAACGTGGTTGGAACACCTTCCGCCCAACAGAATCCAAAGTTGGGCAGACCTAAAAGGGATCTTCGTGGGAAACTTCCAGGGCACATACGCGCGTCCTGGGAACCCATGGAATCTCAAAAACTACCGACAGAAGGCCGAGGAAACTCTCCATGGGTACATCCGGCGCTTCTCCCGGTAGTGCAACGAGCTGCCTAACGTCGCTGACGCCGATGCCATAGGAGCCTTCCTGTCTGGGACCACCTGTGAGTCCCTAGTTCACAAGCTAGGACGTAAGGGCCCACAAATCCCCAAGGAGCTCCTCGACATCGCCACCAGCCATGCCTTGGGCGAGGAGGCGGTCAGAGCGATCTTCGACCACCTCAAGGGCAAGGCAAAGCAGGATGAGGACGCCGGCAAAGGCACCTCCAACCGTCCCACCAAGAAGAAGAACAAGCAGCGGCGTGAGGGCTCGCTCGTGGCCACCGTCGACCACAAGGGGGGTCGGAAGCTCGCTGAGGGCACCCTAGACCACTTCAAGAGGCTGCTCGAAGGACCATGTCCAAACCATGCTTTCCCTGTCAAGCATCTATATAAGGATTGCGGTCTTATGAAGCGGTTCTTGTTCGGAGGCTCCAATAAGGGGAAGCATAGGAAGGACCCCAAGCCGTCCACGGATGATGCTGAGAGGAAGGATGGTGGCTTTCTGACGCTAGATGGCTACCTCATGATCTTTGGAGGGTCGACGGACTATGACTCCAAGCGCCGCCAGAAGCTCTCACGCCACGAGGTCTATACGGCCGAGCCAGCCATGCCTACCTTTCTCCAATGGTCGGAGTCCGCCAAAACCTTTGATCGGACCGACCACCCGGAGACTGTCCCACAACCGGGGAGATATACGCTCGTGGTCGACCCGATCATCGGCACGAAGCGGCTCACCAAGGTACCGATGAATGGAGGCAGCGGCCTCAACATCATGTACGCCAAAACGCTCGATGCCATGGGCATCGACCGATCGTGCATCCGACCAACCGGAGCACCTTTCCACGGCATCATGCTTGGAAAGCAGGCCATGCCATTTGGGCAGATCGATCTGCCCGTCACCTTTGGGGATCCGACCAATTACAGGATGGAGACCCTTACCTTTAAGGTGGTCGGGTTCCACGGAATCTACCACGCCATCCTGGGACGTCCATGCTACGCGAAGTTCATGGCCGTCCCCAACTACACCTATCTGAAGCTAAAGATGCCGGGACCGTGCGGGGTCATCACCATCGGCACCTCCTTCCAGCGCACCTACGAGTGCGAGGTCGAGTGTTGCGAACACGCCACGGAAATCATCGCCTCCAAGGAGCTTGTAGCCATCAGGAAGGAGGTTGCTGAAGAAGCACCTGACTCCAAACGCTGCCTCGGGTCTTTTGAGCCTATAGAGGGCGCCAAGGAGGTCCTCATAGACCCCAGTGGATCCAAGGGCAAAGTGGTGCGCATTGGCACCACCCTTTCCTCCGAATAGGAAAGCACGCTCGTGAAAGGTCCTAATATGGCTAGAGGGGGTGAATAGCCTATTTAAAAATCTACAAATCAACTAGAGCAATTTGATTAGTATAACAACGGCGAAATGCAAACTTGCTCTAGCTCTACAAGGGTTGCAAGCCACTTATCCAACAATTCTAGTTACTATGATCACTAGACACATAATTTGCTAAGTCACTACTCACTAAGAGCTCTTATACTTGCTACACTAAAGAGCTCCACTAGATGAACTTAAACTACAAAGCAAGCTCTCAATTCTAGCTATACTAAAGAGCTTGCTATAACTAGTTGGCGAGAATATAAATGAGTGAGTAGGGTGATTATACCGTCGTGTAGAGGAGTGAACCAATCA